GGGGGGGCGCCCACTGGTTTCTGGATCCCGGCTTCCAGAATAAGGCCTATGGTTGAAATGAAGGACTTCCTCAGTCCGAAGCCCTTGGGCGCCTGTGCCAGTTCTGGATTCTGGCTGGGATGCCTCGGGGAGGGAAGGGGTTGGAGGGTGGGGCGGGGAGCTGTGCGTGTGTGCGTTCGTTCTTTCATCGTTCACCAGACACAGAGGAGCCTGGTGCCGGACACTGCGGGTGGCAGGAGTGGGCTGTCGCCAGCCACATCCCTCCCACGGGCCTCCAGGCGACCTGTTCATCAGGCAGAGCTGAGTGCAGGGCAGGAGGCCACCTGCGCAGGGCCTCAGGAGGCCTTTACAGCGGCCTCTGCTCTGAGCCCTCGGGTGGTTTATAGGGTTTGCAGGCTGGGGCTTGAAGGAATGGCCTGAGACAGGTCTTGTCGTGCAGGATTTGATTGGGATTGGGCACGTTCTTGATCCTGATGCTCACGGGAGTGGCGAACACAATGCAAAACGCTTGCTTTGGTAAGGGGCTCATTGCCTGGTTGGGCGAAGCACTGTTCTGAGGAGAGCCCTTTGAGCAGACTATTGTCTGAACTGATTTGGGGACGTTCCTGAAGCCAGCAGTGAAGTTGTTTTCTGGTTATTAGCTTTATCTTTCTAGGCAAGGATTTCCAGGAACAGGGTAAAGTCCTGTTGAAGTAGGTGGCCTTGGGGCATGGGGCAGAGGAAGCAGGGGCTATTTCTGCCTGGAGGGTTCGGGCAGGCTTTCTGGGAGAGTGGCTTTTGAGCCGGCCGGTTTCAGACGTCAGTCCTTGGCAATGGAGAGCAAGAGGGAAGCAGGGGCACGCCAAGCCAAGGAGAGAGCACAGCGTGAGGGATGGAGGCTGGAGATAATGAAGGCCTTTCAGGAAATGTTTATTATTTGCTGTATTCAATCATTTATCCCCAAACAATGATTTAGATTCTACTGTGTGCCAGGCATTGTCCTGGGTGCTGATGGTGCAGCAATGAACAGGTTAGTGAAGGTCCCTCGGGAAGCTTAGTTTCCCATGTGGATAGCAAATTAACAATAAATGAACAAACAAGATAATTTCAGATAGCAGTAAGAGTGGTGTAGAACAACTGCAGTCCTGCTCCAGGTAAAGTGGCCAGGGGTGGTCTCTGCGGGGAGGTGGCATTTCAGTGAAGAAAGGAATGGGAAGAAGCTAGGCAGGGGAAGAGCTGGAGGAAAAGTATTTGATCCAGGTAGAGGGAACAGCAAGTGCTAAGAACAGAAGGGAGACTAGTGTGGCTACGGTAATGAGGGGAGCGGTGGTGCAAGAGGAATTTGGAAAGGTAGGCAGGGTCTGGGCCATGGTGGACCCCGCAGGCTGCAGGAGAAAGAGTTTGGATTTTATTCTAAGTGTGGCAGAATGCCACATGCCACAGAGGGTTTAAGGGAGGGGTGAGCATTGTTTACATTGTTAAAGATCAGTCTGGCTGATGTGTGGAGATGGATTGGAGAGAGACAAAAAGAATAGAAGCGGGAGCTCTGTTGGAGGCTGTCGCAGTTGTACAGCCAGGAAAGGAAGGTGGCTTGGATTAGGGTGTGGTCACAGCAGACTTGCTGATGGGTTGGGACTGGAGACAGGGAGGAGGGGACTGGTTTGGCCACAGCATAGGATGGGAGAGGACTTCTGGAGAGGGAGTGTGGAATTGGATCATGGAAGTGCTTGGGTGCCAGGATCTGTATTTGGGGGTCAAGGAAAACTTTTGATAGTGTTTGAGAAGGGATGATCCCATCTGGGCTTTAAAAGGACATCTCTCTCAATAGCACAAAGACCAATTCCACAGCTCAGTGAAGAGATGACAAGGGTCTGGAGCCATAACCGTAAGAGGCCAAAAGTGGCATTGCGCTCCCGCTGAGGGCTCATCTCGAGGCCACTGGTAAAAGGACGTGGCAGAAGTGACCATAATGGAAGCCAACATTGATCAGCACCCTTGGTGGAGAGGAGCCCTGCAGCAGAACACAGGACACGGCTCCTCTGTGAGGCCCCTCATAAGTCACTGGTTTCCTGGACCTTTTTGTTTGCTATGAGAGGAACTACGATGGAGGCCAGTGTTTGGGAAAGAGGGACCTAAACGCAGGCATTGAGCTTTTAAGAACATTTGCCAACAGCCCATTAGGACTGAGGTGTAGGGAGGTGGGGAGTTCAACCAACCCCCCACCCCCCAGCTGGTCCTTGGTGCTGCCATCCTGATTATGGAACACATTCTGCTTTCAATTTTTCCTTAGAAAGGTCTGCTTTTCATTTTTCTTCTTGTCTCAAAGTATGTATACAACAAACATTATGCTTTTGGGATATAGATCTGCGCTCAATTAAAGGCTCCACTAATGCAGTCCATCTTGCTGAGTAGCAATCAACCTCACTTTGAGGTTGAGCTCAGTGGAAAAATTAAAATTAACTGTCCTTGACAGGAAGTTTCTATCCACGGTAAAGACTGTTCTTTCTGGGTTCAGCAGCTGGGTTTCAATATAATCAAATGGCAGTTTGAGTAAATAACTCTCTGCACTTTGCTGCTTTTGGGGTCAAGGATCGGGGTATGTATGCAACAAGACTCACTGCAGGACACCCCTACATTCACTCCACTGAGCTGGTTTTACTTGGTGTCCCAGGGAGAGAAAGGGGCTCATGGGAGAGTTAGACTTGGTGGGTATGTTAGGCCCACTGCAGGTTTTCAGGCTCTATGACTACCTGGGCTGGGAAGCGGAGATGGTGTCCTCCACACTGCTCTAGCTCGTGCACTCAGAGGCCAGTTGAGGGCTCAGGAGAGTATCCGCGGAAGAATGGGGGTCTACAGATCAACAGAGTGGACAGTGGCCGCGATGGAGGCAGATCCCCAGCTGGCCAGCATGCGTAGCTCAGCAATTATTGGGAGTGGAGGTAGGGGGTGATAGAGAGTGCTGTCTGGCATTATATTGTTTTGTCTTTATTTATTTTAAGGCCACCTGCTCAGATATGTTATGGGGGAAAGAGACTAAGAAATGTGCCTCTGCTGAAGGAGAAATCTCAGGGAAAAAACAAATCTAGTAATTTACTTCTAAAATCTAGATGATGCAAGAGCCTTTATTTCTGGTTGTTTAAGAGAAATCCTAGCCCTGACCAGTTCTGCTCAGTGGTTAGAGTGTCAGCCCGAGGATCAAAGGGTCAAGGGTTCAATTCCCAGTCAAGGACACGTATCTGAGTTGCAGGTTCATTCCCTGGCCCCCACTCTCTCTAAAAATAAAATTAACAGAGAAAATATTCTTGGGTGAGGATTACCAGAAAAGAAAAAAGAAAAATCCTAGATGTAAACAATCTTTTCACTATACTATGTTATCTAATTACAGAAATGATGCATGATCAATGTAGAATGTGGAAATCATACCCCCTCATGCGCACACACACGCAAAATCACCTGTGTTTCTAACCCCCAGAGAGAGATTAATTGCTTTTTGACATCATAGCCTCCATTTGTTTTTCTATGCGTAGATTTGTATACTTTATATAGAGATTTGTATAGGGGTACAATACTGTACACAGCTTCAAAAACTTTGACATGTCATAGACTGTAAACATCTTCCTAACTCATCCTATAAGCTTCAATAGCTGCGTGAGGGTCCATTCTAAGGTAAGCCTCAATTTTACTTCACCAAGCCCCCCCGTTTTTTATCTTTGTCTTATCTCTCATCTCTCATCTATCTATCTATCTATCTATCTATCTATCTATCTATCTATCTATCTATCTATCTATCATCTATCTATCTATCATCTATCATCTATCTATCTATCTATCTATCTATCTATCTACCTACCTACCTACCTACCCTACCTACCTACCTACCTACCTACCTACCTACCTACCTACCTATCATCATCTATCTATCTGTTATCTATCTATCATCTCTATCTGTCTCTGTCCTGGAAGGGGTTTGGCAGGTATTATAAGAAACACATTATAAACAAACTTGGCTGTATTTCTTTGGGCACATCTCTGATTATGTCCTTAGGAGAGATTTTTTAAAGTGGAGTTGCTGGGTCAGTGGGTATGAACATTTTTAATACATTTGATAGTCTTTACTAAATTATCCTCCAGAAAGGTTGCTCAAATCATTCCGTTTTTCATTCTTTGCTATTTGCCAATTTCATAGGCAAGAACAAAAGCAAAACACCAACAGCAAAATGGTGGCTCATTTCCATTCATTTGTTTTAGCAATGAGGCTGGACATTTTCTCACTTATTTATTGGACTCAGGCAGTGCACTTCTGAAGATGCTGTCACATCCCTGGGGTTTTTTGTTTGTTTGTTTGAATATGTTTTTATTGATTTTAGAGAGAGGAAAGGAGAGGGAGAGAGAGAGAGAAACATCAGTAATAAAAGAGTCTTTGATCGGCTGCCTCCTGCACGCCCCCTACTGGGGATGGAGCCCGCAACCCGGGCATGGGCCCTGACCGGGAATCGAACCACTGTCTCCTGGATCCTAGGTTGATGCTCAACCGCTGAGCCACGCCAGCCAGGCACATCCCTGTTTTTGACCCAAGTCTCTAGAGCACCTTTCCCTCCTCATGAACCTTGCCTAGCTCTGGATTCTGACACCAGAGTGGAGGGCCAAGGAAGTGAGTTCCTTCTTGCAAAGCCCCATTTCCCCAGTCAGAGACCTTCCCTTCCTTCCTCCTTTAGCTCCTTCTTGCAAAGCCCCATTTCCCCAGTCAGAGACCTTCCCTTCCTTCCTCCTTTAGCCTGGCCCCATTTCCTTCCAGCCCCTCTGGAGTCCCTCTGGGAAGCTTGCTTCAGCCCCGCGCCCCCTTTAAGAAGGGTAAGGAGGAGCACTCTGCTGGGGCAGCCCTTGGGCAGCACTCCTGTCGGTCCACTTTTTCAGACCCCTCGGTGTTC